TGATCAGTCGTAACGACTCAGGTGTAGATTGACTACGACTGCTACTTAGTGCAGCGGTGCTGCCGTAGCTATTTCGCTAAGAAAAAGCTAATCTAAGGTCGGCGACCTTTAAAGTGTTAATTGTATTTCTTTGTTCTATTTGCGGCGAAGCCGCCTATATCTAAATCTGTAGGTTTTCCTTATCAAGTAGTGAAACCTAATTAAATTGCAGAACAACTGGCAGTCGATCCACCTACTGACCTCTTGTTAAGGTGTAGCTACACCATTGTATGATTCCACCGTCTTGTGTAACCCACACTCTTGTATGGTCACATCATCTTGTGTGACCCACCCCTTCATACCAAGGTACGTGTAGCCATGGATTAAACTCACTCGCAGAGAAATGACTGCGATAAATGGGGAAGCATTTTTTTCAAGCGTCTAGCTGGTCCAGATTGCGTTTAGAAAGATATCGGTTATTGGAATTGATTGGGGGGGGTCGTATTTGACTGAGTACTCAGAATTCAAAATTGCGCAACACAAAGATGGCTTTGAACAATGGAGCTGTGTGATGTCATTAGCGCTTTCTTCGCGCAAATCACGAAGCAGTCATGGTGAGAGAGAGTGAATTCTCCCACTCGGTGCAGACTTTTTGTGTCAGAAAAACTAACAGTGAAATTCGATTTGAGCTTACTTATAATAAGGCAGATGCAGCCACGATTCCGGCGCAGACCCCGATTCTTAGAAACGATGTGCTGCGGAACAACAAGGTTATTTAAGCTTGGTACAGTGTCCTTAACCTAGTTGATGGTTATCATCGACTGCTGATGATTGACAGCAATATCCCTCTCGCTTTGGTGTGTACTCCTAGCAAAATGCTGCGGGTGAGGTCTGTGGTGTCACAGGAATTATCGTTAACTTCGCCAAAGCTCAATTTGCCTGATGACGCATGATCCTTTTCGTGACTACACAGAAACTGTTTCGGTACTTAGTCTATATAATCTACAATGTTATACACCCTCTAGATCCAACTAAAGTACTGAAAGTTGGATCTAGAGGGTCATATTAATGGCGAGTAGTAGCAGAAAATTGTGGCTCTTGCGCTGACAAAGATAACCTCCTTCTGGGCTGATTTGCTATGAAGCGAGGTCTGCGGGCAGATCAGCCAGGATAAATATCATTGTGAGTTGGCAGTGCCACTGAATCAAGACGACATGAGTAACTGGCTTGGCATATTTAGCCGACGCGGCGAAACCCCTCACCAATCTCCTTGGGTGCAGCAGATGAGGCAAGAATTGAAGCTGTCAAAGAAAACCCCATGCGTGCTTCGAATCATCCATTTCCAGGTCGGTCGTGTATGTCATCTATGATGCTTCGCTTTTGCAATACCCTTCGCTTCGCTTTATATCAAGCAGATGTCGATGGAAGCATGGTTGCCAGCTGGAAGTAGCAGATAAAGAGCGCCCAATTCGTGACAAGAAAGCACATATTACCTCGTCAGGTCCAGGGTGTACCTGCTTGGCTTTAAGTCGTTGATAATATGTAACGGTCATGCGTCGCTGCACACAGCGACGTTGTAATCACATAATGACGAGACAAATTTTCCATCTTCGCTAAGAATTCATTTAACGTACGGTATAAGTCGGGTCTGTTTCTGTGACAGAAGCTTTTTCGCGCCGCCCCAACAGTACATTGTCACATGACACAATGCAGACGTCGCCAATTGATATTGACATATTCTCATCATAAGGGTCAAATGCAACATGTGAAAGCTTTAAGAGCAAGGACTTTGAGCTCAGATCTCGCGTTATCAAAGTTGCATTTGCACGCTTCAACGCTCGCTTGTTGCAAATCAACGCCGAAACACATGACACCAATCGTATAGTCGCCCCTCATTATAAGAGCCGCAACTTCAAGATACTGTACAAGGTAGATGATACCTCATTTGGTGACCACCCCGCAGAGAAAGGGCATGCTGCTCGGTGAGCGCTGTGTTACAAATATATTTCGTTAACAAATATGTGCGTACATGTGAACGTTTTAACGGGTTAAACCCTTGCCATATGCATTGGAACCGTTGGTCATCCTGCCGGTTCCAAGTGAATGTTTACACTCCTTCATTTGCGGTTTGTTCGAGCAAATTGGATTATCTCGCTTCTGTCAGAAATTTCTGCGATCGGTTTTGCATACTGTTAACTTATTTCGTGACAAAGTTTCCCACTAGCACGGCTCGCCGAAAGTCATTGTGTAGGATAGAGAGTTACAGCCCAGTCTGACGAATATTGTTTCAGGTGTACATATAATTGGACATGTCATCTGCTGACCATTCGCAAACGGCTGATCAAATTGAATGCGTGTGTTGCGTGGTGAAGAACATTCTCCGAAGCCCTTGTGCGGAGAGATCGCGGTGCAGGACCAAGTCGTCCTCACTCATTAAGATAGCGCAGTGCATGCCTTTACGCGTTTGACCTAATTGACATAAATAGGTGCTTTTGACATCTCCACGAAGTGGTATCGGTCTTAGTGAGTATAGGCTGCCGATCAAACTCGACTGGGTATTACAAGCCAGCCATATTTAATCGCAAAATAAATGATGTCGCTTTAATGGGGATCTTTTCGCGCAGGTTGTGTGACAATGTGGCCAAGAGCCAGGAATCAAAAGGAACACGCGAATACCAGATACAGACGAACATACATGGCTATGTATTAAGAAAGGAATGTGCAATTATTCTACCTTTTCACGAGGCATCTGCAGATTATAAGACCATATTGCGGCCGCGGTACTTTACGATCGAGGCAAATTGTGGGACAGAATTATTCTCTCAAAATTTCAAAGAGATCTTGTGTTCTAGGTGGACTTACTGAAGCTAAATTACCAATTCGCTCTTGAGATCAATTGAAAGTTAAAAGATATGCTGTAGATGGAGCAGTGCCTCTAGCCTTCTGTAGCCGAGCTACACACTGCTCTAGAGCAGCGACACAGTTCTGTGTCGCTCATAGTGCCTCGAGCCAGACAGTAGAACGGCAAGAATCGAAAAGCGTATCTTACCTCAATTTTGGACGCCGCCTATACGGTTGAAAAGAGTCGACGTACCGCCGAAATCAAGATAGGTCACGGTAGCCAGTAGTGATATTGTCGACCTCCATTGACACTAGTCGATGAGCGAGGGGCAGCTCGCTTCCATGTAGAGCGCTTAGAGAGTCGGCGAGTAAATCGGGGCTGTTACCAGTATCCGGTGGTTTGAAAGAAACACTTCTTCTGAGCTCGAGGTTGGAATACCCTTGCATCGATGTCGGTTATGACCTGGCGCACCCTTCGCATTGATCTTTCGTGGGGAAACGGTAGATTGCTTGTTACATTGCGCTTCTTTCTTGAAACTCGCCAGCGACATTGTGGTGAGTTTGACACTGTATCAGCTGCGTCATGCAGATGGGCGGGATCGTTAAAACCTGATTAGTAACACCCGGGCGTTCTCATCGTACTTTGTACTTCGCAGTTCAACATTAATCGAGACTCTAGTCGGACGTTCGCTTCTCTAAAGCTGACTTTTAAGACCTTAAGATGTGTGAGCCACTCCAGAGTGCAAATTATGCACGGAGAATTTTGGCGATCTTACCAACTCGAAGGACCTAAGGTACAAGCCTTGTGGAGATTACGAGTTTTTCTCCAACCGCCGCCGCTTTAAGTAAAGGTGGTACTCTCGAGAGGCGATGACCTTCGAATTGGGAAAGCAATCGCGGGGTGACTTTCGCGTGCTCTTTGACATCTAAGTGAAGCAGAAGGCCCGCTCGCATAGCTCCGCCCCAGCGCGGCTATCAACTTTGATCGATCTAAACCCGTAATGACGACGTAACTGTTTGGGCAATTATTGGCGCGACTCTGCACTTGCACATTACTAAGCCGGACCACCTGCGTCAGTTTCGGTTCGTTGGTGGAGAGCCAAAGCTCAGTGAGTGTCTTATTGTCTGCAATCGGCTAGGCCGTATGTCGTCTGGTAAGGCTGGAAGTGTTTTGTCAGACTTCGAAGTGCATATGCGACCGTTCTCATCGAAAATCACCTTGGCACCATCACCGAGAAACTCCTCAAGGGTGGCGTTTGCGAAGCCCGTGCTTTTAGTCGGAAGTCGTCGGGTCGTCTGATTGAGCAAATGGGAGGAGATTTCTAGTGCGGGAAAGCTCTGAGGAGCAGGCATCGTCATCAACTAAGGATGAGGTTAGTCTTCAAGCGCGGTGGTCACTCGTTAAGCAGTCACTTTTGCGGAGACAGTAGAAGTTTTATCTCCAGTGTGGTTCACATCTTAACGGAGATGGGTACGATCTGTAATCTTATGTAGATAAATCGCATATTTTCGGTAAAATTGTTTAGTACAATTTACGAAATACACATTGCACTTTGTGCAATTGTAATTACAAACCGGTTTTTATGAAGGTGACAAGACGCAGCAAAGGAGAGGTCCATGGTACGTGAGAGCTGCAAAAGCGCAATGCCTCAATGAACTTTTGCATTACCATATTCTCTCAGTAAGTTTACAAAGAAAGATGCATATTACCTTTTTGTTGTCAGCCTCTGGTAACCATCGCGATTACACAAAATTTTCAAAATAACGTTGATCTACCATGAAATTAGCTGTGATCCACTCTATTTTGTATATGATAGCACTTGTTGATGCGATACTACGAAAAAGCCAAAAAAATCAAGCACTGAACTATTTTCTTGAAAACACGACGTTCTGTAACACAACATTAGTAGCATATTGCTTACTTACGTAAGACGTCGTATCCGATTTCCAATGAATTACTGTAGAGGTATACATTGAAAACTAGTCTTGATGGAATTCATCTTAGATTTTGTCCTTTTCTAAATTAGCAGCACTAACTATTACCTTACTTACTCGAATCCGTTACGGACCGAAGTGTACGAACACATCTTTTTTACGTTCGTCAACGCCGACTCGTTCAGTCTCACCTTCCTTCTGCGATTCGCACGGCAACCCCGTTGCAAGAATGACCGAACGCCAGATTTCATTTTCTTTTATCGAAGATAAATTTTCGGTCTGGCTCGAAATTTGAGCTAGTGCATATGAGCCGATCCTCGCCACCAACAACAGCAAATTTCGTAAGGTATCATTCGCAAAGACGTTGTCATGTTTAGAAAAAACCATAGGAAGTCGATGGTAACGCTTTTCTATGCTAAATTTGGAGGATTCTGGTGCTTCGCCTCCCACATAAGTGTAGGATTAGCACCCTAAAATTCCTGTCCTTCACGAAAACGTAGATAAAGATGACAAATCTCAGTAAAATTAGGCAATTACATCATATTTTTATATGGTGAGGACAATCGACAAAATTTCACCTACTGATGAACTAAGCAGAAACTCGAAGCAGCAGCATTCAAGAAAGCAGCAAGCCATGGAATGTGGCAATCAAATGGCCTTAACGTTGCCATGGTCCAGTAATAGCGGCAAGCAGAATGCATAGTGAGCATTTCTAAATTGTATCAAACATTTGATTAAATCTTCGCCATCCACACTTCAACTGTAATTCCCAGATTTTTGCCATATATTATATAATAATATATGGCAAGTACATGGGTTTTGGGTACAAATAGGTGGGTTTTGGTCAAATTGATTGAGACTTTGATGGTTTCGCTTTTTGATGTGCTTCTGCGTTATCGAGAGACGAATCGTTACTTGGCAAGCCGTGCCCTTAAAAATTGTCTCGAAAAGGGTTTTTGCACCAGTCGATTTGACGCAGGCTTGTTACGTCTTGTATTGCTTAAAGCATGATGGTTGATGCTCTGGGTCAAATGCAAGTTTACTAAAGTTTGCTTCCGTCTCATTTTCCTGCCACTTTATAATGCCGCAATCTCGATCTTGATTGCGGGCATATTCTTAGACGGGATGTGATTGCTACACAGCCACAAATCTTCCATGATTAATACTATCAATACGGTGTCCTACTTTAGGTCGTTCTTTGTGCACAGCAGCTATATATTATGTAAATGCAATTTGCAACTTACCTGATTCCCTATACCTATAGCAAACCACCTCTGTCGCAACAGCATTAGGTGCAAACAGATGTAATTCGGAAAAACTTCATATCTTCGCAAACCAGCTGAAGGGAATAATCCTACAGCAATCTTGAGCAGTACTTGTACATACGGTGTGGGTCTTCTACAATCACAAACCACCGGGATGGATCACAAGTTCGCCATATGCACCTGTTAGCTTTATTGTAAAGGCTTCTGCCACGATTGTGGGGAAAAGCATGGCATAGACAGATAGATAGACTTACACCACGAACTTTACATGACGGCAGCGTAGCGATCGTACGATGCGCATAATGATGACTCTGTTCTGTTTGTGTGCCCTTCCCTCATGGTTGTTAAAATCAATTTCTGTCGCTATTTCCATATGGCTCAGAAGTGATTCTGCTTAGATATTTTTAGATAAAACAGCAAAAAAATGCGAATATAATTTCAGATTAAAATTTCTATTTTTTGGCCTTGCTAAATTGACAAATAAAGCCTGACTCTCCCTCCACTTATATTTTGCATTTTGGAACTGAAGACCGCCAGCTCAAGCTCCCCCCTTAACCGTAATCTGATCAGATGGCTCTTACCCGCGCGTCCGTAGCAGTCGGCCGCATGCAAGCTGCATCGCGCTGTCCCTTCATGCACGCGCTGCCCACTGCTCGCGCTGCTTTGCTACCGAATATCTCACAGCTAGCGAAAATGTGTCCGCATATGTCGTCTGTCATGGCCGCAGCGCACGCTGGGGGATCTAAGTGCTCGCAGGCACACGCGACTTCGACAACATCTGATGCAACTTCCAAGCGCATTGCTGATCTCAAGAAAAAGGCTATGCAGCAAAAGTCAACGAAGCTTGGCTGTCCCAAACCTTACTCGTCCGCCATTGCGAGGTTTCCAACTGCCCCAACGCGTCAAATGCGCATGGGCGGTCTTTCGGCCTCACAATATGAAAATGGGTTTGCGCAGACAATTGAAACTATCAAACGTGAAGGGCGCTACCGTCTGTTTGCTGACTTAGAGCGCAAAAGAGGAGAATTTCCGCGTGCCACACATCATGAAGACACTGGCAAGACAAAAGAGGTTGTTGCCTGGTGTTCGAATGACTACCTAAGCATGGGTCAGCACCCAAAAGTTATTTCGGCCATGCAGAAGTATCTTTTAAAATCGGGAGCCGGGTCTGGAGGGACACGTAACATATCTGGTACCAATCACAACCATGTACTTCTCGAAAGAGATTTGGCTGACCTTCACCAACAAGAAGCTGCTTTGCTATTTACCTCGTGCTATGTTGCTAACGACAGTGTGATTAGCACACTGACTAAAATATTTCCGGATCTCATCATGTTTTCAGACAGTCTAAATCACGCCTCTATGATACAAGGAATTCGTAATAGTGGCGCTAAGAAGTTCATTTACAAGCACAACGACATGGCAGATCTTGAAGAGAAGCTCAGAATGGCTGACCCTAACGCTCCCAAGCTTATTCTTTTTGAGAGCGTCAACTCAATGGAAGGCACGGTAGCTCCGCTGCACGAGATTTGCGATCTAGCAGACAAATATGGTGCCATGACGTTTAATGATGAGGTTCACGCGGTGGGACTATATGGAAATCGCGGTGCTGGCGTTGCTGAGCGTGACCATTGCCTTGACCGGATCACAATGGTTACTGGTACTCTTGCAAAGGGTTTTGGTATCATGGGGGGCTACGTGGCAGGCAACGCTGCGCTGGTGGATGCAATGCGCTCGTGTGCTGCAGGTTTTATTTTCAGCTCGTCAATGCCCCCAATGCTTGCTGCTGGTGCTCGTGCCTCAGTAAATCACTTAAAGGAGAGCCACGTGGAGCGTGTGTCGATGCACGCGCGCTCACACGAATTGAAGATGAAGCTAGTGGATGCAGGCTTTCCTTTGCTACCAAGTGTAAGCCACATCATTCCACTCATGGTATGCGACGCTGTGAAAGTGAAGGAGGCCTCTCGTATTCTTATGGAGAAATATCACATCTACGTACAGCCGATCAACTTTCCTACTGTGCCCCGTGGTGAGGAGCGTTTGCGTCTGACACCGCTGCCAACCCATACGGATGCTATGGTGGAGGACCTTTTGGCTGCGCTTGAAGATGTTTGGACTTTGCTTGATCTACCGCGCCGTTTTGTGCCGAAAGGTGAGTATCTTCCAAAGGTGGAGTGGACCAATTCGCCGCTTCAAATTGCTGGCGAAATTTTGTTGATGCCTGCGGAAGAGGCTGCATGCGCTGCCTAAGTATCTCCGCGTGATGCGTTGCATTTTAAATGACAGTAGTCTTACAACGTTGCAAGGAATGACACATTTACCTTTTCGATGTTTACGCGCTTAAAGTACGCTTTTTGAATGTCTATCTTTACAAATCAAATGCCCAGTGTGGTCTTTAGGTCATGAAAAACTGAAAAAAGGTTGATTCTTTAATAGTGATGCCTCAAGAGCAAATGACGATATACGTGGTGATGTTAGCTGAAATGCAGAAAGCGTGCTTTTTTCTGCGTCATCAAAAGACAGCAACTTATGATACTACAGAGGATAAAGAGTACGTATAACATGAAGTTTTATAATAGGTTTTGTCTTTAAAGAGTTACGTATCCACTACATCAAGTGCAACACAACTAACATTCCTCTTTACGTATTATCTTCATTTGTCTATTTGAGACACTTCGCAAAAACTGAGCGCATAAGCAACTACTATTCGTAGAGTTGAATCCCAATAGTTATTGCACCCTACGGTGCCAGCATACACTCCATCACATCACTTAGCAAGCCTCCAAATAAGGCAAGCCGAAAGTGCAACGGGATTACACGTACCCTGGTATGAAGGTGGGTCACACAAGATGGTGTGACCATACAAGGGTGTGGACGGTGTAATCACACAGTGGTGTGTGTGGCTACACCCTAACGAAAAGTCAGTACGTGGGTGGACTGTCAGCAGTTATGCATTTTAATTAGGTACTACTATATTAATCAGAAAAACTTAAAGATTTAGATATAGACGAATTTGCAGCAAATAAAACCAAAAAATATAGTTTTGAACGAAAGAGTTCGTTTGCCTTGAGTTGAGATTGTGGTTAATTCTGGAGTAAGCGGATTGCAATCCACTACGCTCACACTAGGTCTAAGTACAGAACGAAGGTCACCGGACTTAGCTTAGCCTCCTCTCAGCGGAAGCGCTACGGCGGCCCCGCTGCAGACAGTATTAATGTCATACCCAGTGAGGAGACCGAAGCGGTTCTCGATGGGATTGGTCGTGAGACTGTCAGAATCCTGGACTTGCACCTCTCTCATCTGATGACGAACGGTCTAGCCGCTTACGGAAGAAGAGGCACTATCTATGCCCCACTCCCCCCTCAACACGAATAAGAGGTTCAAAGCATTTCTCTATCTCTACCATTGTTGAACTCATGACGATGTCCAGATCGACACTTATAGCTGAATTTGTCTCAGAAAGAAGTCGCAACGACTTCTTCCGATCGTACACGCCGTAATAACGCTTCCAAACCATCCAAAGTTGCAGGCAGAAGTGTGCGGCATGTCGTCAATATATGGAGCATATCGACTGCGAAGCCTTATGACACGTATAGGGATTTGCCTTCCGCCCACACCGAGATCAAAAAGGGTCCCAGAATTTGCGTCAACAGCGTTATGTCGACCACCAATCCTTAAAGTCCCGCCTGTGCTTAGAACATTGGTGGGCGGGAAAGCCACCTTCTCTTGGGAAATAAACCTTGAATATTGCAAGTTGGTTAGAGTACCCGAAAGTACCGTAACCAATTTGACAATTTGAAGAGAAAGACGTATCGTCTCATCTGCCTACGGCATCGTTTGCCTTCTATAATGAAACGGGCGATCAAGTAGAGCATTAGTTATTGCCTGGCTATGCGATTTACAAAGCATGATTTGGGCGTCGATGTGAAAGCTCATTACCTCCTTTTTCTGCCCTGACAGCCCCGATCGTCTCCACGAGACAGATACAGAATCACCGCCCAGGAGCCCTGTTGCGCCAAAAGTTGATCGCCACACACTTGTGGAAAGTGAGCTGTAGTGAGCTAAATGATAATGACTCTCCTTCAAGTGGGATCAAAATCGAGGGAGGACGGGTCGTATAAGCCTATGGCGCCAGGGTAACGTGGTCGAAGCGGCCCTCATATTCCCAAAAACAATTCTTAGAATTCGTATTTCTTCCACTAGACACTGATGTAGCCCTGGTGTACCCTCTGGACCAACACACATTCCACATGAAGGTAGCGCCCCCTTGCTCATCGAGAAATGCCAGCGAAGAAGCTGGTGGCTGGCTTTGATATGCTCTATTGGTCGTGGTGGAATTTTGGCTTTCTCCAAAAGTCTCAAGTTACGTCGGAAGCTAACTTAGGTATGATGTTGGATGCTCTCTTTAAGCTTTGTCATCACAATGACTGGCTTGTAAGACCCTCAGAATATTTCTGAATCAAGACACTGCTTTGAAGCAGGGTAGCTCGACTACTGGAGATGAACGAGACTAGAGAAACGCTTTTCACGTTCAAAGCTCATAAAAGTGGGATCATGACGTAGCTTCCGTAAGCCCATATAAAACGCAATATGAGTTCCGATCCTCTCGAGATGTAAAAAGAATAACTTAATCCCTTTTTGCTACGTCGTTAAACAGTCCGATGTAGAGCGGTCGCATCTCTCACTAAGCGCGGACCTTGTATGAAGATATGTTACTCCTGCCTTTTGCATTGTTGTATTTTCTCTGGTCATCCTGGCTTCAAGCTATAGCCTCGCACACCTGATGCATCACGATTAATTTCATTGGGATGAAAACTTGCATTGTTATGATACAACTTCGGGCTGACATCAAAGGGATAGATTGTATCGACAGCCCCCAGACCGCAGCCATTTCGTGACGGTGCCATTAACAACTTGAGTTAATAATGCCATATATGTAAAATGGAAAAATGCCTGTAAAGGCGTGCACTATGCTAAACCGCGAACTCAATGAGTGTAGGCGTCTCGATCTGGAGCCGAGGTCACTATGCAAGTGTTTCGAAGGAAATTATGCACAGCTCAATGCATACGTTTTGTCTGACCATTTTCTTTTCGGATAATCATCGATTGTCATATCCAGTATGTGTGGTGCCCTAACCTTGTTAATGTCTGCCAACCTTCGTCTCTATCAGTTTCTATGGTAATAGAAAAGCCTTGCTGGCAAGACACTTTGTCAATGACAAGCTTGGCTGTACACACATCAAGGACACAATCACTGACAGCAGTGAGATAGGTCATTATGCTCGAAAAACCCGCAAAGACCACAAGACTGGGTATAATGGACGCGTTTTTTGGGTAACCGAATTTAATGTTTATTTATATGAAAGGCTAGCACTCTAAGTAATCCTACAATCTGGAAAATAGTGTCGACGCGCTTGGCAAGGGTTTACCTGTTGACACGTCTCGGACGTATGCACTGTGTGCTTAACCGTTTTTAATGTCAGGCAATTGACAATAGCGCCCACCTATCAATACATCGTCTCTTCTTTTAGGTGTCCACCCGGGCGGGTATTATGTGCCTCATACAGTATTTTGTATTTGAGGTCGTAAGTGTGGTGCACCACTGGTATCAGGGTCAGTACCTGAATAGAGCAAGCCTCGGCATACCATATGGCCTTGTGGACGTTCACCTTCCACTGGTAACGCAGCATTCAAGCTAAATATCCTTGCTTTTCTAACCTTACCAGTGGGTTCTAATTGAAGTCTGATCCGTACGCTGTAAATGTAGCCTATTCGATTGGAAAAGTCACCATCGTGACATGAAATAGTTTTAGTCTTTGAGATTTAAAATGTACCTGTCACCACTGTAAGCCGGTCCGGCTTATACCATACCTTAGAGGTTTGCTCGGCATAATATTTTATATGTGCCATTTTTGCGAGAGATGTGGTGACGACGCCGCTGTGTGCAACGAGAAATAACGTATATCTATCACAGTAGGCTTGGCGCCAAGCCGGTAATTATGAAATTGACAACAACATACTGAATTGTAAAAAGCCCCTCGTCATAAAGATGAGAGTTTTTTAGCAGCGATTTTTGCGAGCATGACTCAAACGCGACTTCAACTTTATGCCTTTGACATTAAGTGCAGTCTATCATACGGTTTTGTTGACTCAGAAGTATCGTCACCGCGTAAAAGAATATCACTCTTTACATCTTTTGGGCGTATTCCTTCTTCTTGCGACATACAGTCACTCGTCAAATCTACTTTCGAGACTGCGACCCTAGTCGCTTTTGCTCTCCGCAAACACAGATTACAACAGCCCACTGTCGTTTCTTCTCTTTCCACCAGAGAGTCACTCCATGAAGCCGACAAACAGTCATCCTTTCCCGACCGACCGATATCTATTCTAGAGACCACGATATACAGTCGCCCATTATGCCTCATCTTAAGAACGCGGCTCACTGTCACTATCACCTATACGAGGTTCGCTCTTTATTAATACTATTGCTATCAATTTTGGAAAGTCTCATGTGATGGAAGAAAGCTACTACAACACTGTGCACAAGTCAAACGTGCTCCTAATTTCCCTTTGCAGTGTTGATCTAACGCTGATCAAGTTGACGGATCAACCATTCTTGATGAGCCATGAGCCTCACGTTAGGATCATAACTCGCCAATGGATGAATCGGTGAGAGGTGAGTGACACCTACCGCTTTCGATTTTCAGTCGACCCATGGCACGCGAAGTTCTAGCCACGCCATACCGAGAATGATGTCGTAGGTTCACAACCAGACAGCGCTCCAAGCTGTCAAACTTCGAACATCACTTGAAGGCATACTATAAACATGAGTACATTTAATCCGAATTTGCTCTTGTAATGTTTCGTATTTAATACTGTTTACAACAATCGTGTCGCATGTGATTGCACGACGCTTCTGAAGCAATCACGTTCTTACAAAGATCGCACGTTAATGACAGCCACCACCAATCTCGCGCCGACTCCAGATAGTCGCCCAATAGGGAGGTCGTTTTGATCATAATCTCCACAAGCTAAAACCCTATCCTTTTGTTAGTCGGTCATCCTGCGGCTACAGAGATTCATGATTTATCTGGAAGAATTTCTCGTTTGCCCTTGCGTAAAAGATAGATGCCTTTTAAGTCGTAGTGAAGAACGATGTTGGCACAGAAGACATATTATTTTGTCCTCCCGCAAATGTTACATCGACGAGCTGCTCAGCAGTTAAGCGATAAATTGATTTCTCTCAACGTTGGAGCGATCACATCTTTTTCGCAAAGAACACACCCGCATAATGCGACGGTTCATAAGGTACGTAAGTCATGCTTCGCATTAAATACGACAGTCAACGCGTACTTTTAAGGTCATCTCTAACGCTTTATTTCCGAAGGGGGATCACCTCCGCTTATGTCTACGAAATACTTGACACTTAGCATATGATCACGTTTAGATTGGTATACTTTAAAAAATTCTGGTGAAGTTTTCTTGGAGATTCCCATGTAGACAATTACCGCTTCCGGTCTATCCCCGCTCATTGACATATCCCTTAAAAACCAGAGAAAGCCCATAGTGCACCAACGTTTTGCGTTCGCAAACTCAACGACAAGTGGCGCAGTGCAGCGGGACTGCCGTAGCTTTGCGCTTTGAGGAAGCGTAAGTTAGGTCACCGATCTTTCGTTCTGAGCTTAGAACAATTACGAGTTTAGCGAATCGCAATTCGCTTACTCCGAGAGTAATTATAACCTTAACCCAAGGTTAGTTAACTCTTCCGTTTGAATTCAGAACTGACTTTATTTATTTTTATCTGCGCCAAAGCCGCATGCACTGATTTTTCTAAATATGTATAGGAAAATCTCAATACATGTATAACTACTGGCTATCCAACCCTGTACCGTATTCTTGTTTGGGCGTGGTCACACCATGCCCATCTGGTCTGACGCAATTCTTGTTACCAGGGTATGGGTATTCCCGTTACACTTCATTAAGATTGAGAACATTTACAGTTCCAATCGATTATTGCCTCGACGAGGATTGCGTGTCCGTTAGACGCTGTGTTGGAACGAAACGACTTCCGTGCTCAATGGGCCCAGTGTCAATGACACCGAAGTCTCCAAGTCTCGCTAATTCCGACAGCCCTCACAGGCAGAGCCCAACTTCGTCTTTCGCACGCGGTACCATGTCGGACCGTGTGTCCGCAGCATCGAGGGATATAAATCCTAGGCTCAATGAGCCCGAGCGTCGCGCTCCGCGCACGCTATCAGTGATGAGTGACCTCGTTGGGGGTGTGGAGGTGGTCGACTATGAGTCTGACACTCCTTTTCCTGAGTGGAATGACGAGGAAGGCGGGCCGCACCAGCGGCATGAGACGATTCTTGCTCACGCCTTGCGGACCCCATGTCCGTTTCCTGACCTCTCATCACTTGAGGGGCGTGGTGTCATCACCAATGACCTCGACAAGGCATCGAGGCGGCAGCTGGAAGCTGCCCGTAAGGCGAAC